CTATATATGAGTTTTGTTTTGAAACATATATATATGAAAATATGGTAATAGATTTTATTTTATTTTTTGGTCAAAATATTGTAATAAACTTTTTACTTTTAAGCTTCAAGAATTCATAAAAAAAAACACCCCTAAATTGAAATCCGAACTAAATACTCCGATCCAAGAATTAAACTTTTAATAAAAATAATTTACAATATAATGTTGGTTTACCTGGGTTGTCTGCGACGAATCTGATAACGGCCCAACCATTAACAGGTACACCAACGGTGTTTCTAAGAGGCGGATCTTCAAGATTAAATTTCGCGGTATCTTTCTTGGGGTTGAAGTTACCAAAACCCTCGGCGATAATGTAGAAATCATAACCATGCAGATGAATGGGATGATTTTCCGGAGTTACAATACCGGTATCCTGAAGAACAATCTGAACCCTTGATCCATACTTGAGCTTGTATAGCTTAGTTCCTCTCGAAGGTTGGTAAAGAGACCGGCTTATGTTGCTACTCGTGTAATCAAATTTCACCGGAGGTTTCGCCGGAAAATCGGTCGTGAAAACTCCGGGGATATTATGGTGGTGAGCTTGAAGAAGAGAGTAATTACTTGGGAGAGCAAACGAAACATTGTTCATCGATGAAGTGAAACGTGTACCATTAGGACCTTGACATCTTCTTGATCTGAAATTCTTAGGACAGTTATTGAGACCAAGTCCTATGGTTACAAAGAGATTCTCATCGATTTCTGTCGGAACCTCGGCTCGTTTTAGTGATCGGAAGCTTTGGCTAAAACGTGTGACTGTGTTTGTGTCGTTGTAGGCAGGAAGGAGAGGCATGATTGGTTTGACGGAAATACCCTTATTAGTTCCACCGCCTCCGCCGCAACAAGGGGCGGATTTGTATTGGAGGATCGCGGTTGTGGTTGTGTTACCAAACGGTGCGTTTTGAGCGCTTTGGTAAGCTCTTGCGGCCATGTAATAACGGTTTGGTGGTTGGTCACCGGTTATGAGAACGTCGGTGGTTTGGCCGGGGCCGAGAACCACGACGTTTGTGGTGAACGGTTTTAGGTATGACGCGTCAGCTCCGACCACCGTGAGCTTGTGGTTAGCCACCGTGAAGAATAGTGGTTGATTCATTGCGGAGTTTATTACTCGTAGTAGTATAGTCTCACCAACATTTATTGGTACTATTGTCGTATCTGTAACCAAAAAAAAAATGATATGATAAAATTAATATATTTTTTATTTTGGGGTGATGCTTTTGTTGGTTTTGCCTATTTGAATAAAATATACCAAATTTCAGTTATGACAGTTGGGAGAAAAAAACCGGAAAAGAAATATGAATATAGACCAATTTTTTTTTTTTTTGACAATTGATATAAGTAAAATTAATTAAAAGTACCTTTAGAAGAACATTTATATAGATCGCCAGGTTGACCATTGATGGTGTAAGCATCGGAGATATTTGGAGCTCCTCCGGTTCGTATAGATTCTCTCAATACATCAACCGGATTTGCATCCCACCATTCACCTTAAACAATCATAAAATTACCAAAATCAAAAATTATTCAACTATATAATATTGAATATTTATTAACCATATGATTATTGTCTTATTGAATTTAATTGAATTTTTACCGAGAAGAAGTGGGACGTTGCGGTGCGGGTTTGGGAATGGGTAAGACGAACCAGCCCGAGGAAGGACAAGAAGTGAACCGTAGACAGTGGCTCTAAGCCACGAACTATGAGCATGCCACCAAAGTGTTCCTTCTTGTCCTTGAATTGTAAACCGGTACGTGTAACTTGATCCCGGTCTGATTGGACATTGAGTCACAAATTCCGGTCCATCAGCCCAACCGGTTCTCATTTGCCTCACACCATGCCTGTAAGTATCAAACCGTTCAATACCAGTAAATCAACGACGCATTGATAATGGCATGCACGTGAGTGTGGTTTAGTCGTATTTCTTACCAGTGGATTGTGATGTTGTACCGGGCCCGGTTAATAACTTTGACAACGAGAGTATCACCGTTGTTAACTACAAGTGTTGGACCGGGAAACATACCATTGACCGTAATACTATTATGTGTTTCACATAGTCTCTTCACCTTCGTTGCTTGTATCTGCATATGCATATATACATATGATTATAATGATTCTATACGTAAACACTTACATTTTGTTTAAAAACGTTTCAAATAATTGAAAATGCGAACGTACGATGAACTCGTGGTGGTGTGCTTTGTTAGCTTCTGCCATGGAAGTGAAGAGAAGAAGGACCGTGAAAGAGATGAAACAAAGGAAGCTCTTGATGATCTCCATTGTTTGAGATTTCTATGAACTTCTTGTGTATCAAAAAAAGAAGAGAGAAATGTGTTGTGTTGGGAATTAGAGTGGAGGTTATATAGAGAGACAAGGACAATACATTTTTCGAAAACTTGGTGAATAGTTTTCTTTAGTTTATTTGCGTTTTTTCATTTTTTATTTATGAGAAAAATGTTGTTTTATGTGGTTGGAAGATTAGGTTTTGATTTAATTGAAGGCCAAAACTTGGTTCAACGTAACACTAGAAGAGTAGTTGCACCCACTGGGGCCTAGAAGAAAACTAAAAATGATCACCGAGTTAAAATAAAAATGGATATGTGATTACGTCTCTTGAGTTCTTGCTTAACACGCTTTTTCTATTGACTTTAGATGTAATATACCATAATTGCCATAAACATAGTACACATCTATTATTAAAAGAATTTTGTTTTGGAGCCCCATTAAATGGAACAAAATTATATACAGATGTGTACAATGAGTTGCCAACAAAATTGAAGTACGCAATTTTGTTGTGAACTCTATCTAAATACCAAACTCATGCAATTAACATGCATGCAGCATGCACCAATATATATTTAGTACTGTCTAATGGAATTTGTATTTGTTCTCTAAGATTGGACATTTTTAATTGGCTCTATCTCTAATAAAGTTTGGGGGATTAAATCGTTTTAAATTTGGATATATTATGAGCGTTATGCTTTCACATGTAATCATGTATCCACTATCAAGATAATGGCAAATTAATAATTATGTTAGTCTTTTTCGTTACTGATTAGATTCTTTGCCTTCTTTTTCTGTTTTATATATAAACCGGTTACAACGATAAACGGTTTTGAAAATAGATTACACCGAATGTAAAGATAAAGTCACAACAAATGAAACTAGATAATAAATCGAGTACTTCACTTCGATTTCACTTCGATTTAGTAGAGATGTTTCTTTGAAAAATCGTTTTAGCCACAACCACCTTTACCACGTCCACAATTTCCACGTCGAACCGATTCGAAGTGCAATAGCATCTCTTTAGCCTTTCCTGATAGTTTAACCGATCTTTCTCCAAAGATTTTTTTGCCAGATAGAGTCAATAGATCGATGTTGTCAATAAATCCATCTCTTTAGATTCTTTGCTTTGAACTCTGCTTAAAAAACAAATTCATGCTCATACAATTAGCTATTGCATGTATACTAATATATAATATTACAATTTATTTTGTGTTTGCATTCTCCAAGATTAGACATTTTTGGCATTATCCTCGTACATAAGGCTGATCAGATGGGTCCTGGATCGGATCATTCTGACAATGGATTTATATATCGTCGTATCGACTTACAATATTTGATACATGAATTTGAATATAGGTGGTGACAGACGGATGACACTAGGACCCGATTTTGGTCTTGATTCGATGTTGGTCTTGATTTTTAAACCATAATTAAGCAAAACGTGTATAAAGTATAAACATAATTTAGAAGTATTGTTTCTTTAATGTTTATGTGGCCACCTACATTCAACACTATAATACCTAAACAAAGACGGATTGGATCAATCGCATGTCTAAGTCATAACTGTATATTGCTCTTTTTGTCATTTCAATTTTTTTATAACAGTCTTTAAATTCTTTTAATCTAGTTTAAATATATATTTGTATGAATATTTATATAGCTAATACAACTGTCAGCTGAATCAGCTGATTGAATCGAAAAAATATTTTACATAAGATTTAAGGTCGAGTAAAAGGTTAAATATGTTTATTGAGAAGTTTATAGTTATAGTTCAAAGTATAAAACGGAAAATGAAACTCCAAGGATCAATGAAATGAGGAAAAAAAAAAGGAACTCTTCATTCTTCTTGTCTTTATGTGTTTGGTTTATTAATAAAAATATATTTTCGCTTGATATGGTTATCATCAAATCCTACAATATTAGTTTATGATTTTTCTACGTTTAGTCGATCTTCCAATATATTAATATTAGACATCTAGATTTTTTTACCAAGACGTATGAATATATTCTAAATACATCAATTATGGTCAGAACTTATACTTAGTCCGTAAGAATTTTTCAAAAAGGCAACCAAGCTCTGAAGAAGTATCATCCATTTAAGGGTTTAGGTGGCTTGTCCGTAACAGTTTTGACCCTTCCATTTGAATTTGCAAAATTTCATTGTTGTTTTCATACTTAAAAAAAAAAAAAAAGACATAACATAAGGTCAACTTTCACTGCGAAGCTTAATTTGCCTCTTTTCAGGTTTACTTGTTCGATGAACAAATTAATCAACTGTAGTGAAAACCAGTATATAAGAGATTTATGGAGTGGTGGGGTGAGGAATAAAGCATGCAAGTGTTAGTTGCAATTTGGAACAAAATAATATTTTTAAATGTTTATCAACATTCACATTTGTAGCGAGGAAATTTTGGTTTCTTTGCGTACATCATTGCATAAAAAGATTCATACATTATAACGCAAAAATAAGATTTGGTTTTAAAAAACGAAAACAAAAATATTGGCTTGAAGCTTAAGTAAAAATGATTTGTTTTTGTTAGTGTTGAAAAAGGAAAACTGATTTGACGTAAACAAGATGATTCATCCAACGATTTACAACATGTAGATAACAATAACACCTTTTCTTTAACCGAATCTAGGTAGCTCCACACCTACATGTTGTAAATCGAAAAACATGTAATCGAAAAGTGATTGCCAATTATATAAATATTTGTTATCGAAAAACACATTTGTGTAAGAGCACATTTGAAATCATATTCAACAAATTGATCGTTTTTCAAATGCCAAATGTTTGTGTTTACATTTATGTAAAAGAAAACACAACATGTAAAAGAAAAAACGATTAATGTAAGTTTCAATTCAAGAAATCCAACTACAAAAAAAGAAAGGTTGGAAAATCTTCAACAATTTATTTTCATTTTGTGATAACTTTTTATCTTAAAAGATTTAGATAATACTTTTTTATAGTCAAACCTGTATATCCTTACGTAAATATCTTTAACAATAACAATCCGAAGGTAATAAAATTGGGAAAAAGTTAACATCATGTTGTTAAGAAAGGAGAAGAAATAGTACATATGAGAAGAATATTATGGATTGGGGAACAAGAAATTAGTAATTATGTTTGGTGAAGTTACTTAGTGTCCTCTTCTTTGGAATCTCTAATCTATGTGCTTAATCTTTGAAAATGACATCATTTGTTTAGAAACTATAGCCGTAACTTATAGATAGCAACGTAAAATTGACCTCGCATCTGCAATTAAGTTCAAAGTCAACATGCTTTACTTGTCTCCATTTTGTGTTTCTCTGATAATTATACCACTTTTATATAATTATTATATATCTAAATGATTTGAGAAACCAAAGAATGATTCGTTTGGTTATTGTCCTAAGAGGAAATGGAAAAAAAAGAAGAAAAAAACTTATGTTCTTTGAATGAAATTGTATTTTTAAAAAGTGATGGTAGCATGAACAACTTTAAAAACTTCTTGATTAATTGTATATATAGCATGTAAACTGGTTTAATTTCATTAGTCAAAAGTGGGTGCGAACCGTAAACTAGGTTCACATTATTTTGTTTGTCGAATTGTCTATCCTCTCGTTACAAGTGGATAATATTCTTTACACTAAACGAGGAAAAACTTGTTTTCTTTCGGTTTAATGGTTAATACTACCTAATTCTTCTTTTTATCTCACCAAGAGTTAAAGAGTCCATGGAAAAGATTTCACAAGACAAAAATCATTCAACGAATATTTCATCTAATGAAGATTGAGAATCCGGTCACCTATAAAAAATCCAAGGAAGAAAGCAAATCAGTGACTTTGACCCTCCAAAAAAACAATTTCGGTGACCAAATAACTATTAGATCATTTTGAAGATCCCAAAAAGAATAATACACTGAAATAATATTATTTTTTTGGTAATTTTTTTTAATACAAATTCTAACTTATTAAGAAGTTTGAGTTTTCTACTTGGGTTCTTGTTCTTTTTGCTATGGTTTTGTTTGTTTTATAGTAGATTGCGATATTGACTAACGATACATTTTGTTGTTCGTTTTGTAATCGCTAACTATCAACAAAGAAGATCAAATCTTGTTGTAATCGACAACATATTTCAAGATATGTTTCGACAACTTGTTGCCGCCAGTTTCAAAACGAACACAATTGAAACGTTGAAATCTATCGCTATGGCTGGCGACTGCAAAATGGACTGCAAAAATGATCTTTAACGTATATTAAGTCAGAGTTGGCGTAAAAAAAACATCGTATTCCCCAAAACTAGATCCGCTTGTCCTACAATTCTTTCGTGTGGTTTCGCAAAATTGCTAGAGAGAGAACTCTTCCTAAGGTTTTATCATATAGTAAAAGTGTATTCAAAGCAAACGCAAATATTTATGATACTAGGCCATCAAAAACAAATGTCATGGAGAAAAAAAGATCAAAGTTTGATATGGAACACAACACAGTATCCAATGTATTAGAATGTATCAGATTCAGTGCAAAATTGGTAACCAAGCACATAGTTTATTTAGTCTAAAGATGCTCAACTAATGTGCTGGGTGAATCTTACACCAGTGTCTATCCTTCACAAACCATTATGATCAAGCAAGAACAAGCAAGAGACGATACGAAAGAAAGACATATAGATAGGTTACATAACAATGCAGCAATTTCGAATCTACAAGTTCCCATTCTCTTACCATCATCATCATCAATCTAAACTCTTGTATCGCTAACAAGATACATCAGTAAAAGCCTTGCTAAAATGCATAAGAACTCAAAAACCACAGTTTTGTGATGAGAGCAACAACAAGAGATCAAACTGGTTCTTACAATGTTGGCAATAACAGTGAAGGATCATCTCCAAATTCCTCAATCATTGTGAAGAATAATACAACATAACAAAAACATAATCTTTTAGATCCAAACTCTTTCATAACGAATCTATACTACCCAAAAAAAAAACCCTAAAACCCAGTTCCAGAGACAGAGTTTTAACCACCACCAAAACCCATCTCTCAAACACGTCCT